AACGGACCACAACTAAGGGAAAAACATAAAATGGGGGAAAAAGAAAATAAAAGTAATCACGAAAAACGTGACAAAAATGGGACAAACAGTGGAGCATCAACGATGTCAAGCTCTGTTGTTACGCCCATCTGATCGATCATTCGACCATGTGCTTTTTCAGGTCGAATTACCACTAGGCCATCCAGGGACCCCATTCGACCTGTTGGTACCCCTCGCATCCTTGATGTCATTTCGACCTACGACTCTTTTGACCTGTAGGGCCTTCCTTCTCCGTTCGAGCTTATGATTGACTCGATGTGGTTTGGTCACTTTTCCGGTCTACTCGACCTGGTGCGGTTGTTTCATATCATCTGGTCCCTCCCCTTTTGGTCAAGTCAAGATGACTCGATACAAGAGAGAAAATGGGCTACTCTTCAATTCTGGCATGTCGGTTCCCTTCTTGCTTTTTCGAGCTTCCTAATTGCTCTGAGATCATTACCGCGCATTTATTCGGCCTGCTGCCGGTCTTTTCCCCTTTTGAATTTTGATTTCCAAATGGTTGCAATGTGTCAGTACCCGTCCCATCCAACCATTCTGTCGTTACGTGTCACGTCTAGTCCAAACATCCCATCGCCTTGCGCTTCGCATTCTGTGTGGATCACGCGCAGTGCACCCATTTAATGTGAGGTTGGTCTCGTCCGTCCATCTTCACCTTAATCCAACGATCGAATTTTGGCCTACCCTTTAGCCTACTGCTTCCGATTTGGACCGTTGAACATGCGATTGAGATCGATCGACCCCTTTACTTCTCTTCTTCCTCCAACTATAAAAAGGAGCCTTAGCCTAATTTGCTAGGTTTTTCACTTCGGCAAAAATTCGCAGATATGTACTCTTGCTTTCTTCCCTCGTTCGACGAGAGTTCAGCCTGTGCTCGGAGTTCCTATCGCTTGATCCACCACCGTTCAGCAAAATCCTTATTCCCCCGTTATTTATCAACAACAAAGTGTAAGTTTCTTTTCTTCTATTTTGGTTTTGCATGTTTTGATTTACTTTTGCTCTACCGTGAGATATTCTTCAACCTCTCTGCCTTGTGTCGCCTTCCTTCAACTCTTTAATTATTTTTTTGATTTTCTTTTTCATTTTTTCAGATTCCACAACATCCAACGAGGGCGACAACAATTACGGTCGAGATATGAATCCTCCATTATGCTCTGCTACTCCTAATCCGCAATTCTCTTTTTTGACTCACCTTCTGTGGAGGTCAAAACTGTCCTCTCATCTTCTTGGGCTGGTCCATCCTCAGTCATCTCACGTCATCCTCGTCGTCCTCTCCAATCTCGCGACGAAATAAACTCTGAGGATGAGGAGGAGGTCACTTCTCCTTAAAATCTTGCTCAATCGACCCATGGATGCTTATGACCACCCCTAACTGATTGTTTCATTTTTTTAAGACCAAATAAACCTAGGACTTAGGTTTCATATTATTCCTGCTTTTTGAATTCTGCAATGTATTCGGGGTCCCAATAAATCAACTGTCACCAACTCTATCCTTTAGCTGGTCATCTACGCCATCCTCTCCTATCACCGGTTGAGCTGCATCTGCCTCGACCGCTAGAGGCACCTTGTACCTGCAAGCCCACAGTGGAGCTCACTTTATAAACGAAATGCCTTCTAATATTTTCAAGTGGAAAACACGATATTTTTTTGTTCAACTTGCCTCCCCCTCGACCCGGCCTAACTCGACACTTTTTCGTGTCTTCTACCTCTACCGCCTTCTTCGACCGACTTCAAGCTCCGAGTCATCGAATGAAATAAATCTCAAGTCTCTTCTGAGATCCTCCTCGACAACGAGCCGCTTTTGTCTCATTTTCAGGATCACCTCGACGTGTGCACGCCTAACCCACGATCAAATCGGTACCCAGCACTTTCACGTTTATAAGTTTTAAAGATTGACAGTAAATCGACGAACTTTCATTAATTAGTCCCAGGTTTAGACGACTCAAGAATATTTAAGGGAAGTTTTTCTTTATTATTTGGACTAATTTTAATTACTTTCTAGATTATTGATAAATAGTAATATATGTTTTATTATGGCATGTCTATTGAAGGCAATTGGGATTCACTTTCTAAATGCGCAATATGCAATCGCGGGATTGAGAACTCCATAAGAAGACCTACCATAAGTGGACGTGACTTGGAAACAAAGTCTGGTGTGTGACTTACCATATGTGATTGAAGATAAGAGGACGACGAGACAGTTAGAGAAGAACACCTTTTTTATCTGGAATTTTGTATGCGCATATGTTGTAACGAGAGTAATTTTCTTGAGTGTTGATTTATTTTGCATTTTATGGAGTGAAAAATTTAGAGCGATCGAAGATTCATTCTGTGAAGTTTGAGGGAGTCAAACACAAAAAACCACAAGGGATTCGTGGTCGGATAAGTAGTAGTGCAGATCATTGTTCAAGTAGAGTATAGAGGGAGTCTATACTATAAACCCTTGAATAATGTTTGTGATATTTGCATTAATGAAAGAGATCCGAAGGGAGAGTGAGACGCTCTCCCGAAGGTCCAGTTTTAAGTTATACTGCTTCCGAAATTATTTGAAATGTCTTAGTCCATTCTGTATGTTACTAATCAATAATGTTGCTATAAAACCAACTGGTTGGTTCCCTTATGGAACCAACACCCAGAGCGGGTTTTCGTTTATATTACGAAAGATCTGATGACTTGTGTATCGGACAATCATGAATGAGAAAAGTGGATCGATGTTTAGGCCTCCGCAATTGGATGGTTCTAACTACTCATACTGAAAATCTATGATCACGAACATCCTAAGATCTCTTGGAAGAGGTGCGTGGGAGAATGTTGAAAATGGATGGGAAGATCTTGTTATGTCAGAAGCACCAGATCAAGGAAAAAGATCTTCATCGGCTGCGGTACCTAAACCAAAGGACCTATGGACTGATGCCGAAAAACTTTAAGAAGAAGCCAACTATCGTGCCCTATATGCGATCATGATGGCAGTCGATTAGACAAGACACAAGATGATAGTTCAATGTAAGACGTCAAAAAATGCATGGCGAGTTCTTTTATAAATAATGGAGTTGATGATTGTAAGAGGATCTTTTGAAAAA